TTTCCTCTGGTGAATGACTAATTTCACTCCACATAATGTTCCCTATGTCCATCCATGACACGAAGTGCTTGCTGGTCACATCATTGCTTTTTGGGGATGCATAGTGTTCCATTGGGTTGCATTGCAGTCTTGGAGATGGGTTTCCCAGCGAGGGAGCCCATTATGAGTAGTATTAACAGTTCATAAGGTCAAGTTAAGGCTCCAATTCAGTATTTTACACATTGTCTTGTTTTTCTAAACAAACTGCATAGAATGTGAAATGCTTAAAGTCCCAAACTTTGATAAGTATCATTAGAATACATTTATTCCCACTTACTAGGTTCAGACACTTGTCAGTTGTACTACTTAATTCTCACAAAGATTTAAAAGGGAAAATTCTTCAGGCTTCATTTTTCTTTTATACCAGAAGACAGGCTCAGATAGGTTAAGTAACTTCTCCAATGTCCGAAATCAAGAATGCAACCAGCAGTCATGTGGGGTGATGGAAATGAGAATCTCCTTCCAAGGGCATGGATTCACCAGATGTCTCTTGGTGATGTGGCCTTCCTTTGCAAAGATGGGTTGACTAGTTGTGTGCATCTGTGCATTATCATTGCACAAATGTAGATCTTTCTGTGTTTATGTTGTCCATATTTCTCTGCCATCTTTCCCATGCTGACATAAAAATTCTAAGAAAAAAATCAATGAAAATAACGGTAGAAATACATTTTGAAAATAGTCTATAATGTGAAAGAACAAATATTGCGATAGGATAAATATAAGCTTCCAAGAAGTATGTGTTAGTCTATGTTGACTAGAGAAACAAATTCATAAAGACACTCATGTGTATAAGAAAGAGCTTTATATACAAGAGCAATAGAATATTGAGAAAACATCCCAGCCCAGTCCAGATCAATTCCATAAGTCCGGTATTAGCCCATATGTTCGAGACCAATCTACGAAGTCCTCTTCAAACTCCCCAAACATATGCAATGATGCCAAATGCAGGACAATCATAGGCCAATGGGAGGGGAGTCTTGTGGATCCAGTGGTGGTATAAGCATCTCAGCTCTGGCAGGGGTCTCCACATGCCTTTTCCAGCTCTGGCTGCCATCAGCCTGTCTCCATGTCGCTTGTCAACAGGAATGTCTAGCAGTGACTGAGCATGTGTCCTGCCTCCAGCGAGCTATTTATCTCCTTAGTGCCTCCAAATGAGGTCATCAAGCTGTGACCTGACTGACAGGCCAAATTCCACCCCTTCACTTGTAAATCTCAAATTAACAACAGATTATGCAACTACCACAAAGTACTTGAGCGATTAAAATTAAATTTCGGAGTAGTAACAGCCCAACCAATAGAGAAATGCCACTCCTTATAAATACCTTGCATTCCCCTCTTCATTAAGAACATTGAGAAGACTCAAGATGACAGCCATGTCGGTTGTCATTTTATTTTTGGAAACTGGGATTCCTTTTCCTACTCTTCCCTAACTGAAGTGTCCATAGAATTAGGGAAAGAGCAAGGAGCTACATCATGAAGAGTTAGGGAATCTTAGCATTGACAATGAATTAATACTATAAAAAACTTCATGTATCCCACCTTCTGAATGTTTTTCTAAATGTCAGCTAGGGAGAAGCATGAGTGCCCATAAACTCCCTTATACTCAGCAGAAAGGCTCTGTGAAGTTAGACATGCTAATATTTTGTAGTGGAAGTCATATTACTTTGTCAATAAGATGTTTTCAAGAATAAAATGAGACCTAAGGATACCTCTGTTGGCAGACACGTAGATATATTTTATGCAAAAACTGAGAGAAACATCTCTACTGTTTTATTTTGGTCAACAAAATAGGATTAGAATTTAAAATCACTCTGTTTCATGTCAATATCGTAGGATTCTATTTAGTCTTCCAGTGATGCGTGTGAGCATGTGTGTGTGCTTTAGAGAAGGATACATGTCCCCAAAACTCAACTTATTTTTGACAATAAAATGTCAGCTGGTCTAGTCACGGTCTCATGCTAATAACTTTGCTGTGTTTTCATTATAAGTAATCTGGCTGAATATTCTGCCAGTCCCAAATTACATGCACAACGAAAAAGGATTTTGGTTTTGTGTGCTTGTTTGCTTTGATTGTTTATAACCATCACTGTATGTTATCACCTTTGTCCTCTGTCAGAATTTCTCTAATAATTATTAAATACTCTCATGGGCCAGGGACATTTAAACAATGAATATTCAGTGCCTATCCTTAAGTTGTGACAACAAAATCACCTTCAAATGATTGAGTTGAAGTGTTCTTTTTTAGTTGTAATGGCTACCCCCCCCTTTCACTGCCATGTTGCCAAAGTGTTAAATAAGTCATACTTCAGCTGAAAGTTTCTATTCACTTTGATCAACTGTCACTTTGGCAGGGGACATACACACAATATAAGGTGCTTAGATGATACCCACCATTGCATAACAACAACACATGACACTTGGAATTGATAGCTTGCTTGACAAGAGTACGTTGCTCTAGGTTATGGTTATTTGGTTGCATGTTTTTGCTCTCCTAACAGATTGCATACACCTTGAGGGAAGACTATGTGCAGAGCTATGCAGTACTGGTCTGAGAGAATTTTCAAACAGCACATTATAAAGAACTGGGAGGCAGCATGTCCACTTGTGACCTTTGGGAAGCCAGTTGTCTCTTTGGATATGAGCTCCTCGGTCTCTAAAACAAGGGAGTAGAATTGGCCCAGGATGTTTTATTTTCATTGTTAGTTTTCACTATAGAGCATTGGAAAGTATAATGGCAGGGAAATATGGATTCACTTAAATGTTCCAAATCATTGTTTCTGGCACATTATAGTGGGAGTCATTATCAATGGAATTGAGTTGGATTCCCCCCCCCCCAATCTCTTGTGTTAAATACTGCTATACAAAATAACTAATAACAGAGCTGCTTTTGTCAAAATAGGATAGGGACTAGGCACCACAAGGTATAGGTCCAAGTCCATTGGGTTGCTCCTTGTCCACACCTTCATTTCACCTGCCCAGAGGGGCTCTGTGAGAATCTTGACCTTTATGGACCATGGTGTAAAAATTCAAGAATTTGAGACTTGGACAGATTTTCTCTATATCTAGTGTTGATTGAGTCTATGACTCAATTTTAAGGAGTTCCTCAGCTAAATTGGATTTTGTATAGTGAAAGTAATATGAAATATCTGAAGGATGGAGAATCACACACCACTCTATATTTTTGAATAAAGGTGATATATATGGATACTATTGTCTGCCTCAAAAATAGTTTTCTTTATTATATTCCTCTCAGCTGTGTTCCATTAAAATACAGCAATTGACAGAGCTACATGTGACTTCATTATTACAAGACTTTACAAAGTTAATTTACTGAATCAACCAATTATTTTTTATATCATAGTTGGTCTTGTAGTTCACTAAAATTGCATCGCTTCTCGGCCTTTTGGCTAAGATCAAGTGTACAATTTCACTAAAATTGTTTGAGAACCATAGTCAAAGAAATCTATCTTTTTGATCTATTAACAGTGAACCCTGGTGGTGTGGTGATTACTCATTGAACTGCAAACTGCACGGTCAGTAGTTTGAAACCATCAGGGAAAAACCACAAGGAAGAAATACAGGACTTTCTGTTCCCATAGTCTTGGAAACTCACAAGAGCAGTTCTACCTTATCCTATATGGTCATTATGAGTTGATATCAACTCAATGGCATCGAATTTTAGTTTTTTCGGTGACTATTTTGCAAACCATTTGTGAATATGCTGATTATTTAGCTGGTAGGAGGAAATGATTAGGATTGATTTAAGCAAGAAATAAGAGTATTTAAGGATAATCAGGTGTCAAATAAGAATGATCTCATCGCATTATCCCAACTTTGCTCCCCATCTCTTTGCTCCATCCTCTTTTTAAATAGCAGTGAAGGTGAATAGATAATACATTCAATGAGCAATGAACAAAAACGACAAGGATCTTATGTGAGGTGGGTCTCCCAAACTAACTCTCTTCAAACCCATCCCTTTTTAAGATGTCAGGGGCCCCATACCTGTGCATTGTGTTTTCTGTAGACAAAAATGGAGGTGTGTTGCTGAAGCAGCAGGAATTCTAGAATCCTCCGGAAGGAGGACGTGTGGGTAGCTCCTGGCACTGTCCTCTAGATCAGCCTTTCAGTTATCACCCAAACTGGCATGTTCTCCTGGCCAAGAAGGGAAAATGTCCTCACAGAAAAAAACATCGAGTTCCGCAACCCTGAATTGAGCATGTCTTTATTTGATACTGAATGTAGATTGCAGTGGCAGGTCTCAGGGGACCAAAGCAATTCAGTCAGGGTGTGTGTCTGTGGCAGGGAATGCTTAACGAAAGAGAGCTATTCGATGGAAGTTCCTATACTCTCCTTTAGCTAGCAGTGGGAAGTATGCATATCGGCCACCTATCTTCAGGAGGTGTGACAACAAACATTTACATTTGTAGGCTGAGAATTGAGTCAATGACAGGAATACCAAGAAGAAGTGTGTGGAAGCTTAAATTTAGGAGAGCATCATCTACAATAACAATTAATGCCATATAATGTAATGGATTCAGGTTTGGATGAAATAATAAATGTAAGGTGCATTTTTATGTATACGTGAGTGTGTGTGCTGTTATACTAAGTTAATGTCACATGGCCACCACATTTAGAGGCTATGTGTGTAGGAAAATGTAATGAAGCACATAGTAAAAATATTTGATGAAGCACACTCATGTGTTTTAAAGCACTGACTGATCCTAATTCTGTAATTCAATGGTATCATGCAATTGTCACCATGGAAGTATTATATTTGAGTCCATACAATGTAATAGTTTTTCAGCTTGCCTGAAGGAACTACCTGCAATATGTAAGTCATTACTTGGTAGAGCGCTTTGGCACACTACTTGGAGAATGAAAAATCTTTGAGAAAATAAATTGTATTCTATCCTTCAGTTCATGGAGCATAACAATGTTTCTGTATGATTATTCTTTTTCAGCCCCTCTGACTGATAAGCCACCCAAGCTTTTGTATCCGCTGGAAAGTAAACTGACAATCCAGGAGACCCAGCTGGGTGAGTAATTCCTTAATTCTAGTTAATACACTTTTCTCAATACCTTCTACAGTTTAATCAGTCTCAACCAAACCCTAGTGGAATACGCTGTGCAAAGCCTGTGTGCATTTAAATGGGGCAGAAAGAGAAAATCACCAACATCATTGTGCTTTCTGTCCCAGGGTGGGCATATGAAGGCCAAAACTCATGTCTGGTTGTTGAGAAATAAGACAGGATGAAGGTTTTAGTGCTGGCATTATAATGTTATCTTATAATTCCTGAATCAGTTCTAATATAAGCAATATGAAACCATTCAAATCATAATATCCATTAATCCATTAAAACGCAATTTCTGAAAATCTAGAGGAAGGGCACACATTCATTATAATGAATATTGTCATTATAGCTAAAAAGAATCTTTATCTAATTGAGTATAATGGATATTAGGCTTCCTAAGTTGTGGATAATATGTTCCTAAAATGTGATTTTCTTTCAGTTAAGGAACTAATAAGCTTAAGGATATGATACCATGGACAAAATACACCTTGTTTTTTTTAAAGTGCAGCTTTTCACAAACCTCCATTCTAATTTACTTGTTTTAGTGTATAGACTTTCTGAGTCTGATTTAACTACATTATGAAAGAATTCACCCAATTTATTATAAATGTGTCCAAAATATTGAATTATATTCTCTTAGGTGTTATTTTATTTCAAATATAGTACGAATGTATGTGCCATCAATTTGATCAGAAAAAAATTTGTTTTAAGTGGGTTGAAAAAGAAGGTTACCAGAAGTATAAATTTAAACTCTGTGGGCATGTTCATTAAGGAATCCCTTCTTACATCGGAGAGTGAAAATCCATCTACTCTATGCAATCAACAAAGGAGCAATTGCCCATATCTTAGGGTGGCAATGACCTTTATAGTTCCTAGAGTAGAAATATGGATCAGCCTTGCAAATCCATTTAAAAAATCATGAGTACAGAAGCAATAGTTTTCACTAGTCAATGATCTGAAGCTAAAATACACATAGCTCTGTGGATGGTTTGGGACCTTATAACTTCATGATACTCAATAGGTTTCTAACACTGAAAATACTTATAATTGCTAAGGCTGAGGCACTAATATATGTGGCATTTATATGCAACTTTGGTGGTAAATTCAAGTCTTTGGATTAATGTCACATACAGGCAAGTGGTATTATAATTATTGTTATTTTGAGATGAAGGACTTCACAAGTACCATTTATGCAATGCTGTATACAAACGAGCCGACATACTAAAATGCTATCAAGCTGTTTACTCATGCTATTGAATTTTGAGATACATATTATTGCTATATTCTAAAGAGGTTTTGAAATATAAATTCATGAGTGGCTGTACTTATACAGATGTTTCAATAACTCCTAGGAAGATATATTCCTAAATAGTTAAGCAAAACCGCCAACAGCTTGGACCAAGGAGGAGATGTTGATGGTACCTGTTATCTGCTTGTGAACACAGGGAACATGAAATTAATTGTATCTCTTTATTTGACAACATAATTAAAATAATTTTTATGATGAATGGCAGCCTGTTGGGTTGCTTTTTAATGTCCCTGCATTGGGAATAAATCAGATTGTTCTCTGTCTCCTATTACAGTGTGATTTTTTTCAAAGAGGAATTCTTCATAGAGCTTTTATATATTAATTTTCCTTCTTTTGTCAACATTACTTTTTTTGAGCAAAGTTGTAAAGACTAACTAACCCAAGTTGGCATTATGAACATTTCTTATGCAAATTACTATCTGACTTTATATTCTTTTGAATAAATTTTAACCTTTGGTTATCAAAATGGTTCAGAAAATACTCTACATTATTATTATTATTATTAATTATCAATACCAAAAGGAACATGTGTTCTACTTAGTGGCCCAGTAAACTGGAGCCATCAGTCTGGGATTTGGATCCTTTTCAACAACTTTTGTTTTATTTTCCTGACTCTGGTTCTCAGTGTGCAGTATATATTGTTTACTAGGTAGGGAAATGTAACCTTAATCCTTGAATCTCAGAGAAATCATTAATTACAAACAACTACCAGGCTAGTTCTGTTGCTGCTATTTTATTCGAGGAGGTGAACCAGAAAGAAGGGTACAGAAAAAGAGGGAGGATCTGTGAAGAAAACAATAAATCTCGAGTTGCCTGAAACAGATTTTTCCCTATAATCTATATGCTTTGCTTTTGGAGATTTCACTTTCACCCTTTCCAGATTGGGCAAAGTGGTCAGTTTCAACAGGCTCAGAATGTGATCTGATCCTACAAATGGCGATACTCAAGGAGGTGGGAGTTAGGAGGGTGACCTACATCAGTGGGGGGAAGCTGTAAGTAGTGCCTATTCTAAGTAGGTGAGAATTTCCAACTGAGTTTCTTTGGCCAAAAGCTCATGGCTCCTCCTTTTCTTGCTCCTAAATCAAGATTTTATCTCAGAGGATAGTAAGACTGCTGGAGGAGTTATAAGAAAACTCATCAGGAATTACACAAAGCTGGGCTGGTACAAGGAGCCCAAATGGCATATTCATTATTGTTGGGCTGCTAACTGCTAGGTGAAACCACCAGATGCCTCTCAGGAAACAGATGAGTCTTTCTACTCCTGTAAAGAGATACCGTCCCAGAAGCCCATAAGGGCAGTTCTGCCCTGTCACATAGGATCGTGAAGAATTGACGTCGACGCAGATTTGGTTTCGGTTTTGAGATGGTGTAGATCTGTCTGGTCACCTAATTTGAACATCCTAACTAAGTTACAGACACAGCTAACAGACTCAGGTAACTGTAAACCCATCCATTCCCCAGTTCATTTGCACATATATAACATGTATCAAGATGAACTGAAATCATGGAACGCTTGGTTTTACCTTCATCACTAAGATTCTTTCTCTGGCACTGTCTGTCCATACTGTCTGTCCACACTCTTGCTCTCTTTCCGCTTCCCTGTGCCCTTCTGCTCTTCCGTTTCCTTCATCTGCCCCAAATTGAGAATGGTCTGACAGTTATCATTTCAACTGTCTTATTGCGGGGTTCAAGGACAATGAAAAGCACAGCATTTTACCAGGACTTGGAGGAAGTACATGGGAGATATAAACAGAACATAACAATATCTAAATTTATATAAAAGATATAAATTGATGGGCTTGAATTTCAATGTGTAGCCAAGGCCTGGCATTTTCATTTCAAGGTCCAACTGTGTGTTATTTTTTAATGTAATAAATATAAAATGGCAGTCCCCTTTTAAATAACTTTCCTCCATCAGCAAATATATGGGCAGCACTTTCTTGGGCAAAAGGCCCAGAAATCACACTGCCCTATTCTGAAGGTCAATCAGAGAGGTGAGCCAGACTCAGTCCTTTCAAGCAGCTTCAATCAAGGGAATCAAAAGACAGACACCATTGTTTTGCTGAACCGGAGCCCTGGAGATGCCAATCTGCCTGTAGCCTGCCTGTAATAGGCAAGAGCCAATTTCTAGAACTTTCCAGAGCACAGGGTATCATATTCCTTTGATACCAGACTTTCAAAGAGTAGAAATCTTTCCTACCTTTGGAACTTTATATATTGCCAACTCTGAAATTACTAAAAATTATCCTTAAATATTCAGCAAGTTATAGGTTTCATTTTATTTCAATGTAGGACTCTCTTTATAAATAGTTATTATGCAGGTTAATTACAGTAATCTTGGGGAAATACATAAAAGAATGTTGCTGCTTACACTTTATGCTGTAAGTGCTTTCTGCTTCTTACTAAATATTTTCAGAAGACACCCTTTTAATGACTACATGATGTTCACGTGAATGAACCATAATTCCATAGCTGTAGCTGAAAAGTCTAATTATCTATATTGATTACCATATATAATGATGTAATGAACATCTTTAATTATGAGTTCCCTCTTCCCACACCTCTGAAATGATTTCAACAGGATGGATTCAAAAGAGAAAAAAAAAATACTGAGTAAAAGAAAAGACTTCTATTAAAGTATCTTTCTTCATGATTGCTGCATACTTACCAGAGACTTTGTACAAAGTGTCACTAGAAGTATATCATGTCAACTATTTCACTCCACTGAGTACAACCACTTTTTAATCTTTAATAAAATAATCAAAAGATATGTCTTAATAACAGTGGTCTTAGACGAAAAAGTGTCCTTGGATAGCAAAACCACACACACACACACATACCTTCTACTTCCCTCTTTATTCATTGAGCATCACTTCTCTCTCTCTCTCTCTCTCTCAAGAAATTATACAGATTTGAATGGCTTCAAATAAATCTCATCCATTGTGCTGTCTGTGCTTGTAAATATAAACACATCATTGTCTCTCTGTAGTTCCTATCTGTACTCCTCTGTTCCTCATCTAGTTGGTCAATGGAAACCTTCTAGATTCTATGTTTCGTAAGAAAGTCCAGAGTCTGCTGGTGAGACAATCTAGGCATATGGAACGTACGTTCTGAGAAGTGTATGATAAGAATAAGTATGTGTATGCCCCATAGAAAACACGCCTCCACCTTTTCTGAATGAGAAATATAGAGGCTGTACAACTGAAGAAGCTGAATACCGGTACTCTTACTTATGTATTTACCATTTGGATCATTTGAACCAAATAGTCTGTGAAACAGCAAGCCCTTGGTGTTTTGCAGCATATAAGAAGGAGTCAAATATGTTAACATCCAGATGAACGTGTTCGATGAGAATAATTGAATCACAAAATTTTAGGTGTCTGACCTGATAACTGGTCAAATGCCCATACACCTTGTGCAACTCTAGACTAATTAAAATAAAAAGTCATGCTAGAACTTAACTAGCAGTCCATGCCTTGCTACACAGCATATAGTTGGTAGAATCTTAAATTGCAAATAGACTAAGAAAAGAATGTCCATGCCATATGTAAGAGATTCTGTTTGATATGTCTATAGGTAAACACCTTGTCATGGAAACCATTGATTTAGCATATTGTGTTGCTAAAATAATTACATGTTCTGGCACATGACAGAGTAATATAT